TGCGCTTCGTTGTTGTATGACTAGCGGTGTTGTGGTTGCAACAAAGTGAAGGATCGATTCCAGCTCCAGCCGGCGGATCTTTTCGTCTACTGGGTGTTGTGTGTTGTCCACTGTCTAGTGTTAAGTGTTCAGTGCAGCCTCTAGTTGAAGACGGTGTCAATTGTCTGTTTTGAAGAAGTCTATAGGAAGTTCCAGAGAAAGTCCATAGGAAATTCTCGATGAAGTCCATAGGAAGTTCCAACGGCTATCCATTGGAAGTAGCAGAGGAATTGCCTATTATGTTCAGAGTATGTCCATAAGAAGTTCCATAGAAAGTCCTTAGGAAGTCTATAGGAAGCTCATATGAGTTTAAGAATTTCCAGATGAAGTCCATATTTAGTTCCTGAGAAAGTTCACATTCAGTTCCTGAGGAAGTCTAGGCAGTTTAGAGGAAGTCAACAGAAAGTCACTGAAAATGTCAATAGGAAGTTCCTGGTGAAGTCCATAGGAGGTTCCTGAAGAATTCTAGGCAGTTTCAGAGAAAGTCCACAGACCTTCTGGATAGTTGCCAGAGCATTTCTGGAGGAAGTCCATACGAAGTTCCAGAGGATGTCCATAGGATGATTCAGAAGTTGTCCATAGGTAGTTGCAGAGGAAGTCCATAGGAAGTAGTGGAGGAAGTTCATATTAAGTTCCTAAGGAATTCCATGAAGGCTTTGTGGTCGTGCGATCATCGTTCAAGCGTAAAGGGTGATACGGTCAAAATTTGGTCAATATCAACTTGACGTATTTCTTTCAATTTTGCATTTAAAAAACCTGAACACCCCTCATTTTGAAGGTGTGTGTGTGTGTAGAATGTTGCTCCTATTTTGATTTTGGAATTCACTCTTCAGTTGTCAAAATGCCGTCCAAGCAAGAAGAGCAGCGTATCAATATTTTGCTCGCGCATCGCGAAAATCCGAGCTACTCGCACGCAAAGTTGGCAAAATCGCCAAAAGTTGCCAAATCAACCGTTACAAATGTAATTAAAGTGTTTGGGGAACGTTTGTCGACAGCCAGGAAGTCTGGATCGGGGGGAAATCGAAAACCGGAAGCCGCTGAGACGACAAAGAGAGTTGCCGGTAGTTTCAAGCAAAACCCTAACCTCTCTCTCCGAGATGCCGCAAATAAGCTGGGTGTATCGTCTACAACCGTGCATCGAGCCAAAAAACGAGCCGGACTATCGACTTACAAGAAGGTAGTGACTCCAAATCGCGATGATAAACAAAATACGACGGCCAAAGTGCGATCCCGGAGGCTGTACACGACGATGCTGACGAAGTTTGACTGCGTGGTAATGGACGACGAAACCTACGTCAAAGCCGACTACAAGCAGCTTCCGGGACAGGAGTTTTATACGGCAAAAGGAAGGGGAAAGGTAGCAGATGTTTTCAAGCACATGAAACTGTCAAAGTTCGCAAAGAAGTATCTGGTTTGGCAAGCCATCTGTACCTGTGGCTTGAAAAGCAGCATTTTCATAGCTTCCGGGACTGTCAACCAAGAAATTTACGTAAAAGAGTGTTTGAATAAACGTCTGCTGCCTTTCCTGAAGAAACACGGTTGTTCCGTACTGTTTTGGCCGGATTTGGCATCTTGCCATTACGGTAAAAAGGCCATGGAGTGGTACGCCGCCAACAACGTGCAGGTGGTTCCCAAGGACAAGAACCCTCCCAACACGCCAGAGCTCCGCCCAATTGAGAAATACTGGGCTATTGTCAAGCGGAACCTAAAGAAGACCAAAAAAACTGCTAAGGGCGAGCAGCAGTTCAAGGCAAACTGGCTTTCTGCGGCGAAGAAGGTGGACAAGGTGGCTGTACAAAATCTGATGGCAGGGGTCAAGCGTAAGGCCCGGCAATTCGGATTTGGAAAAGCGGAAGCCAAATTGAATATTTTTCCTGAATTTTATACTAATTGAACTTGAAAAAGAAATTTAATTTGATTTTTTAAATAAACGATTTAACCGATTTACACGCGTTTTCCCTTGACCAAATTTTGACCGTATCACCCTTTATTATGAGTTGCACGAAGTGAGGGAGGGTTTTACTCCCGCTACAGCTGGTGGAACTTTTCGCAACCCGCAAATTTCTCTACTGGTCTACTGGGTCAGTCTGTACAACCTCTGGTTGAAGACGGTGTCAATTGTCTGTTTTGAAGAAGTCTATAGGAAGTTGCACAATAAGTTTATAGATATTTCCTGAAGAAGTCCATTGGAAGTTCCAGAGAAAGTCCATAAGAAATTCTTGCGGAAGTCCATAGGATGTTCCAACGGATGTCCAAGTTCCAGAGAAAGTCCTTAGGAAGTCTATAGGAAGCTCCTCAGTGAGCAGGTCCATAGAAACTGTCAAAGGAAGTCTATCGAAAGTTCTAGAAGAAGTCCATAGGAAGTTCCATAGGAGGCGCGTTGGAATTTCCTGAAAAAGTCCATAGGAAATTCCAGACGATGTCTTGAGGAGTTTTCAGACGAAGCCCATATTTAGTTCCTGGGGAAGTCCACATTAAGTTCCTGAATAATTCTGGGCGGTTTTGGAGGAAGTCAACTGATAGTTCCAGAAAATGTCAACAGGAAGTTCCTGAAAGAGTCCTTATGAAGTCTTAGAAAAATGTATGGGAAGTTCATAGAAAGTTTCAGAGGAAGTTCCAGAAAAAGTCCATACAAAGTACCATAGGAGTCCAAGGGAAGTTTCAAAGGAAGTCCAAATCAAGGGTGGTGGCTGCAGGAAAAGCTGTATTTTTCTGTGATTAGCTGCACGTAAGCGTAAAGAAGATTCCTGCAAAAAGATTATGCGCGATGCAAGTAGATTCGAGAAATGAAAGAAGATTGTTCGAAGATTGATTCACTAGTGTGAGATTTGTTAAGCATCTAGAATTGAGATTCAGATGTTTCACTCTCCTCGGTCCAAATGAAGTTCCAGGGGAATTCCATAGGAAGTTCATGTGAAAATTTATATTCAGTTCCGGAGATAGGAAATTCTAGAGAAAGTCCCAGAAGAGTCCATAGAAAGTTCCACAGCATATCCATTCACAGTTGCAGAGGAAGTGTATATGAAATTTCAGATGAAGTCCATAGAATGTTCCGAGGGAGCCCATAGTAAATTCCATAGGAAGTTCCAGAGGAAGTTCAAAACGGACCAGAAAACTCCTGGATGAAGATCGCTCAACTTCAGGAGAAAGACAATAGAAGTTCTGGAGAAAGTTCATTGTACTTCTGTAGACAGTTCATTGAAATTCTGTAGAAAGCTCGTAGAACTTCTGGAGAATGCCCATAAGATGCTTTGAACCTTCTTCAAAAGTCTTGCTGGACTTCCCCTAGAAGTCTTATAAACTTCCTTCAGCAGTCTTATGGACTTCCTCCAGAAGTTTTATGGACTTATACTAGAAGTCATACATACTTAGTTACTTACAGGACTTCTACAGGGAGTACAGAATATTTCTGAAGATGTCCTAAAGTACTTTTGGAAAATGTCCAAAGGACTTCTAAAGATTCTCCTTTGATCTTCTAGGGAAAGATCATAATATGTTGTTGCATCGTCTATATGAAAATCAGAGCGCTTTAAGAAAGTTCATAAAATTCTGCTAAAAACCGCTCCTTTAACATTTCATAAACCAAGCATCATTCCCAAAAAGTTGCAGAATCCAAAAATTCTTCCAAATAAGTGGCAGTCTCATCGAAAAATTGTCGTTCCACACCGCCGAAAGAGAGACATAGACATGCAAAAAAACGGATGATAAAAATCGAACGAACGCTACAAACCAAATTTCCCCCGAAAATCCAATCACAGCCAGTCACACGGCTTCGGAGATAACGCACCATCAAAAGTCAGCGCCAAAGTGGATTAACGCTATCATCCCTTCGAACGCCCAAAAAGGAAATCAACCCTTTCCCCCCTTTTTTTTTCTTCGCCCCATTTCTTGAATCCCAAACTTTAAACGGCCTCCATCGCGCATCAGTGGCGTTTGTTTACTATTTGTGTTGGCTTCTTTAAAACATCAAAAGGCCCACCAGTGAGTGAGTGGTGAACTTTTGACGTCTCCTTCTATCGTTGGTATTTTCACAGTTTTTTTAAACGAATCGAAGCAGGCGTTGCAAATTTTTGAGTTCGGCCGTCGTAGTCGCACCCGGAACGGAAACGCAACGATCAAATTTTTTTTTTTTTGGTTTCGAGTTTATGTAGAATGTCTGTGTCGGAAAATGTGTTTGTGATGGACGATTTGAATCGGTTTCTTTTTCTCTCCCGTTCGAAGCAAGTTTAAATTATTACACATGATTAGGATCGATGTTTGATATGCGTGTATGGGACCTTTTTCCAGCGGATTCTTCGGAAAGTTCGAGGAATAAAGGGGGAAAAGGGGTTCTACGGAACCATGCTTATCGTGGCGTTAAGATTACAAGGGACCCAAGCACAGAAAAAGAGAGAGAGACAGGGAAAAAGGTCCTCCACCGGACGGAACACAAACATACATCAGTAGTGGGATAGAAGGTAAGTATGGAGAGCGTATGGATGCAAAGGCAAGGTACAGAAAAATGATGTAAATACTTTCTTGGCGAAGGCATCGAGACAAGGGACGTGGAATGAGGTTAGGATCAAGCCATCAATCTCTCGGAAAGGAATTTTATTAAATCAGTGATGCCTGTATTCGTAGTTGTTGTTGTTGTGGTTTTTGTTGATGTTGTTGGTTAGCAAATTGTTTGGGATGGCAAACTCTCATTACGATGAGGTTAGAGAACATGAGAAGTGGCAGGGCACTGTGTGAATTTATCACCGAAAAGACGTTGGGAATATTGATAAAAAAAAAATGAGTTATGATTTAGGGGCAATGCAGTGTTGCCAGATTGGCGGTTCGCAGTGGACGACGCTTTTTTGGTAGGGAACGGCAACACTGCTCAGGGAATTAAAAAAAACATCCCCCGTAAATAAATGGCATTTCTCGGAATCAGGTGGATCCCATCATCGCAGAAAACGAAAATAGGGGTTGGCACTTACCTTTGGTGGTCCTGAATCCCTGATTGATGGCACGTGTGGTCCGCTCGGCGGCCCGGTAGATGCGCCAGTAGAAGAACAACATCACGAACATCGGGATGTAGAAAGACCCGAGTGCCGAGTAGACGACGTATCCGGCGTCGTTTGTCAGCTCGCAGGTCCACGGGCAGGGCGGGTTGGTTGGTTCGGCGAAACTCAGCCCCATCCCCAGTTCCCAGTCGGCGGCGGCGGTGGTGATGGTACTGAACGTCGTCACCGATGGCGGTGGCGACGCGGTGGAGGACGTTGATGGCGAAGACGACGGCGACGATGATGGCGATGGTGATGATGCTGATGATGAATACGATGACGAGGAAGTGGCTGGTGGTGGCAATGTCACCGACACCAGCGTGTGATTTCCATACGGTAATAATAGGTTCTCTTTCACCTATGGGGGAGAAAAAGGGGACACAGATGAATAGGAGCCCTAATCGATTCGGAGGAAAGGGGCGGTACATTGAGGCGGGGTTGATTTATTAGCCGTTTTTTGAATGAGCAATCTTCGATTATGACGAAAAGGTGCAGTTTAAGAGGGATATTTTGAAACGTCATCAGCATGGAATGTCAATAAAATGAATGCTAGTGTTTATACAAACCTTAGGCAAGGCATTAAGACTATTTTAAAATATTAGAGAGCTAATTTGGTTCTTTCCCATGCAGAGTCCATGTTTAGACAGTTTTGAATACCCTTATACCCAGCACTCCAAATAGGGTAACAGTCTTAGCTCAACAGAGCACATTTTTTTTCAAAATCATAATTACCAACATATCATTGATCAAAATTATCTATAATCGCACAAGGAAGACACACCAACTGACAAAAAATCTAGCTGTTGTTGCAATTGACAACAGTCATCACTGCTACTAGAGAGGGTTTAGTATAAAAGAGGAGCGAATTGGCTGATTTTGAGCCAAACGAACTGTCAAAGCCAGAGCCAATCGAGCAGATCCTATCTTGATTGCATTAGCAGTGTTGCTAGAAATCGCCTAGACATAGGTTGCCACGGCAGTTTATTTTGAATCCGCTCCTCTCTTATACTAGACCCTCTCTACTCCGTACAACAAACAATCAATACGAAACTAACGATTTTAAATTGGTTCACTACTTGACTAGCCTATTGGTCCCAAGCAAATCGATTAACGTACCCCATTCTAGTCAAACTTCTAGTACTACACAATGTTTGTTTTGATTCACTATGAAAGTTTGACAGATAAAATGAGGGGTTATTGGATTTTCCTAAGTCTCGAGGGGTGAATCGATTAGCTTGGGACCGAAGATAGTACCAGAGCTGAGCCAAAAAGTTGAGCACGTTTCTTCGGGACCTTCTGGTCTTAGAGTTATCTCTATGGTACAACTAAGTAGATTTTCAAATCATCTGCGTAGAACATTAAGCAGCAGTTTTCAAGGACGTGGGACACATCATTGAAGAATAACGCGAACAACACCGGTCCCAAGTTGCTCCCTTGTGGTTTTCCGCATCCAGGTGGTGAATGGTGCCGATGCGGCTGATCCAATGTTCACAAACAATTGACGATCAGTTAAATATGATCTCAGCCACCTACAAATCCTCCAAGATGCTCCTAACCGCTCCAGCTTGGCTAACAGGATATCGTAATCAACAGTATCGAACGCAGCCTTTATGTCAGTGTAGATCAGTGTCTGTTTTTATCAGTGTAGATGAATTGCGTTCGTTTGAATATTTTCGCTGTGAAGTACGAGCGAAACAAACAAATGAGTTCATTATACATCAATGAATACGCCACCACTGCTTGATGATCCAACCCAAAATAGTCAAAATCAGAAGCGATCCTCAAAAGCAAAATAATCAAATTCATTTTGAGCAATATTGTCGACTCCACAGCCACCTCGGTATTATCATCAATTCAGCATGAGGCAATAATTTTCCATCAATCAGTGTATAAAAACCAACACAACACGTTCTTCAACTTGCGCAATATGAAAAAAAATCATTTTGCATTTGATCCTCAAAATCATCGCCAGCAAGATGAAGATGAAGATGAATATTGATATTGACAACAACACGAATGAACAAAAACCAATGTTGACTTCGATACTCAGAAGTTGCCTTGATGAAGAGAATGTGTTTATGTCAAAATTCAAATTCACGCAGGTAGTTGGTCTATCTGTTAAGGTTGCCTTCATTTTCAGCTAAGCTGAGTGTAGAAGGAATGATTTTTTATCAGCACTGGTGTAGATACTGTGGACTTGATCTCCTTGATTCATTTCGTTGATACAAAACGACGTGTAAAGTCTGGAACGCGCAAAAATTTGTCAACTTTAAATTGGTGTTGTTGGGGTATGGGTGACTCACCGGCGCTGGCTATACGGGAAGGGCTTCAACGGGACGGGTCAGCTTTCCTTTTTTAGTTCCTTTTCAGATGCAGAACCGACGAGGACAATGGAACTTTGGCGAAGGAGACGAACAGAACGGACGATGGCACCAGGTAAGAACACCTCGCAGGTAAGTTCTCTTTCCAGGGGCAATTCGCACAATTTGGGGTGCATCCAGCAACGATTCCGACGGACGCAGCACGGTCCAGACCGAATGAAATAAAACAAATCCGGAGCTACAACAGGGAAAAAACTCGAACTTCTCGCGGATAGAAGAAAAGTCGCTTGCACTCCCTTTCAGCCTTTTTACTTTGTGTTTTTTATTCAAAATGAACATGACATTTCTAGCTGTCAATGCGAAGGAAGAGCGAAACATAGCGAAAAGTGCTATGCTACTGAAATATTTCATTGTGCCGTTTCTAACTACAGTAGTTATTCAGTTTATTACCTATCATAATACCGGCCACCTTCGCAAATGATTTGCGAAACAAATTAGACTAAATCAAAAGTTAATTTACTAATTTCAAACAAATGTTTTGTTGCTTACCAATTCATTGCAAATCTTATTCTTCTAAGGCACACTCCAAAGGGCAAATTTTGCAGACTGCCCTCTTCAGAATTCCAGTTGAGGTTCGAAGGCTAACCACACGGGTAACTCCGTCAGCTCCGGGGTGAAGCTCAAGGATGCAGGCCAGTGGCCAGCGGGCAGGAGGAAGAGAATCATCTTTCACGATGACGACGTCACCGATGCTGAGCTGGTAACGCTTCGGGTTGGTCCGGTACTGTAGGTTCAACTCCTTCAAATATTCATTTCGCCAACGGTGCCAAAAAACTTGCGAGTGCTTCTGAAGCTTTTGGTACTGGCTAAGCCGGTTGAACGGAACATTTCGGATGTCTGCTTCAGGAAGAGGGCGGATCATATTTCTCACCAAGAAATGCGCTGGGGTGAGGGCGGCTAGATCATTCGGGTTGCTCGAAAGCGGCAACAGCGGACGAGAGTTCATGCACCCTTCGATTTTAATCAGCACCGTGGACATCTCTTCGAAGGACAGCAAAGAAGAGCCGAGTTGAAGAACGAGGTGAGTTTTGGCAACCTTCACTGCCGCCTCCCAGAGGCCACCGAAGTTAGGAGCACGAGGAGGGATCAAGTGCCACTGGATGCTGTCTTCGGCAAGGCGTTTGACGATCTTGTTGTTGTCGGGACCGGGTTGGAGCATAGTGTACAGGGCGTGCAATTCATTTTTCACCCCGATGAAGTTTGTGCCGTTGTCTGAATACAAGTGCTGGGGCTTATTCCTCCTCCAAACGAACCAATCAAGTGCCATCAGGAATGCGGCTGTACTCAGGTCACTCACGAGCTCCAGGTGGACCGCCTTTGTGCTCATACAAACGAAAATGCAAATGTAGGATTTGCGGGCAGCTGCTTTGCGACGTGTTGGCTTGAGGAAAATGGGACCACAATAATCAACGCCGGTGCAGGTGAAGGCTTCGTTGGCGGTAACACGGGCGATCGGAAGTTGACCAATCGGTTGCTGGATGGGTTGCGGATTTGCTCTGCTGCACTGCTTTCCGGCCATTCAGCGGCCAGAATTCATCACGGGCGAAGGACAGGGTCATCTCAATTCCACCATGGACAAACTTGCGGTGATGGTGCTTCAAAAGAAGATGGGTAAAGGGGTGGAAACCGGGGATGACAATCTGGTGTTTTACGTTATACGGTGCATCGGACAGCCGCAACCGGCCACCCACACGGATCAAGCCATCAGCGTCGATGAACGGGCTCAGCAGGCGAAGAGAAGATTTGTTCGTGACCATCTGTCCTTTCTTCAAACGCTGCAGGTCTTCGGGGAACGATCCAGCCTGAACTATCCGCACGAGAACTAATTTGGCGTTTTGCAATTTGGCAACGGAAAGAATCCTACTGGAATGTCGCTGCTTTTTGTTGCGAGCATTGTGGCAGAAACGAAGGCAATATCCAACTGTGCCAAGCAGGGTCTGGAACGATGAAAATGTTTCGAATAGCGGGTTTGATGTGAGCACTTGGGTAGTCAAGATCAAATTCTTCTTGAGCTCCAATTCTTCGTCGGTGAACTTGTTGTCCAGGCAGGCTTGAACAGGCCTCTTTGATTTTTCTTCACCCAGCCACCTGGGTCCATATTTCCATAGCTAACTGGTGATCAAGTCTTCGGCGGAGACTCCTCGCGAGATCATATCAGCAGGGTATTCGTTCCCGGAAATATGCGGCCATTGCGATCCATGAGAGGGAGGGGGGGGGGGGCTTTCAGCCACTGGATAACTATCGTTGAATCAGACCAGAAGAAACATCCAGAGAACTTCAAACAAACGGGAGGCAAGCAGCGCGGCACAAAGCTCTAGGCGCGGGATGCTGAGTGGTTTCAATGGGGCAACCTTTGACTTTGAAGCAAGCAAGCTCACTTGTACACGCCCTTCAGAGGTTTGGGAACGGACGTATATGCATGCACCGTAGCCTACTTCTGACGCGTCTGCAAAGCAGTGCAATTCAGCAATGCGATAGCCGGGAATGAACGCATACCTTTCGATACAAAAGTTGGAGAGGTTTGGAAGTTGTTCGCAGAATTGATTCCACTTACTTTGCAAGTCGGGTGATACTTCTTCGTCCCAATCCAATGCCGAAAGCCACAGTTGCTGCATGATAATTTTCGCCTGAACTACGACGGGTGCGATGATCCCAAGCGGATCGTATAACTGTGCGATAGCTGATAGAATGTTACGCTTTGTGGGCGTTTGGTTTTTCACGACGATGGAGACATCAAAACGGAAAACATCTGCCTCGAGATCCCAGCGTATTCCAAGGGTCTTGATTATTTCTCCAGGATCGAATCTCAGCGACGAATGAGTCCCAAGAACATCAGGAGGGAGTCCAGATAAAACGGGAAGTGAATTGGAACACCATTTTCGGGGACGGAAACCACCTTTCTGCAATAGTTCAATTAGTTCTTCACGAAGCAGAATAGCCTCTTCGATGCTATCGGCTCCGGCGAGGATATCGTCCA